AAATAATCATTTTTTACAGCACCATTCAATAATTGATGTGTTAAATGATCATGCTGACTCCGAATCAAAGATTCAGTTGTATTCCATATACTCCATTTAGTAAGGAAGAGAAGAATGTAACCCATTGTAGGAAAAAAAGTGATGGTTTTTAAATTTTATACTTAGTTTAATTTTGTAGTCAACTTCCTACTGAACAATTCCATCCAGCGGCCTAATATGTGTCTCAAATTCAACACAACCAAAATAAACTCAATATCCACCCTCAAATCATCTCGCCCTACAATCTCCTCTCTCAGGAAACTGGATCAAGTAAGTCCCTGCAAGAAACCCAAGACTTGTCCTTGACACTTCCATCGCCTACACCCACCAGAGCCAGTCCAGCATTTAGCTCTCTTACTCCCACATCTCAAAATACCTCTGCATTTTACCCACTTCTTCTCCTCACAGGCACTACTCTGCTCTAGGCAGGCATCACGTCCTACACAGAATTCATGAAAGGCTACCACAACTTCCTACCCAGCCTCCCTGAAGAGACAGGCTCTTCCTCAACCTCTTCTCTACACGCGATCTTCCCATAACACAAGAGGTAATCATGTCTGCTATCTTTTAAACCCATTCAGTGGCTTCTCAACTTTTAAATCCATTCAGTGGCTCTTATTCATTCACCTAGTTATCCCTATTATGTAACAGACACATCAAACCCACATGCAAAACAAACCCAGGCCGCCAGTAATGCCCTACATTCAGTCAGAATATTCGCCCTCATCCCATGCCCCTGACTCCCTGACACAGACAATCATGATCCTAAATCCCATGTTCATAATTAGCCTCATTTGCTTTACATAAAGGCTTGTTGTGTCTCTATATAGTCCTAACATATGTATTTTTACATTTTAGTTTTAGCTTTTCAAACTGTATCATGCTATGTACCATCTCTGAAAGATGTAACTTTTATACTTAACTTACCATTGTTATCATCAAGATTAATTCATATTGGTGCAGGCTGCTGTAGTTCATTCATTTTTACTATTATATATATTATTCTCTCACATTTATGTACCACTATTGATTCATCAGCTTTTCCATTAATGGGCCTATGGGTTATTTTGAGCTTTTATTTTTATGAGCACTAGTGCTATGAAAAATTTCTATCTGTGGAAAAAATATTCTTAAGTATATGACTGAATGCTGGGTCATCCATAAATTTCAGATTTCAGAGATAATGCCAAACTGTCATCTGAAATTACTAATAAAAATGTAGAGAAGCATCACCTCCAAAAATTGGTATTATCAGCCTTTTTAATTCTTGCCAATTGAACAGATATAAATATGTCATTGCAGTCTTGGTGTGCATTTCTGTGATCATAATTAATGTCAAATATTTTTTTCACAAGTTTTTTTGTTATATGTGTTTACTTTTTCAAGACATGTCTATTGCCCATTTTTTCTTATTGGTCTGTGTGGGCTTTTCTTATTAATAGGAGTTATTTTTATATGCTTGAAAATAATCTCAGATATGTGTACCTTGAACATCTTCTACAGTTTGTAACTTTTCTTTTTACTTTAAGGTCTATTTAAGTGAACCAACTTTCTCAATTTTAATATAGTCAAATTTATCAGTATTTTATTTTATGGTCAATGAGTTTGGATAGTTATTTCAGAATTTTTCCTTCATTTAAGATCTTACAATGCCTAATTTTTTTTTCTGCTTAAAGTTTAGTTTTCTTGATATTAATATATCCAAATATATCCTGGTTTATGACATGAGTTAAGCATCCAATTTCACCTGTTTTCCATATGGATTACCATTTTATTTTCAGCTCTATTTATCAAAAGAGCCCTCTTTCCCCCCACGGATCTGCAGTGCTCCTCTGTCACGTACTGAATGGTTCAAACTTGTGGATATATTCCAGAGTCTCTGTTCTGTTCCACTGGGCAACTTGTCTACCCTTTGTACCAACAGTACAGTCTTAATCACTCTAATTTTATAAACTGTATGTATTTTTCCCTTTCAGAAGTATCCTGGGTGTTCTGTAATTTTTTACCATTCCATAAGAATTTTTCTTCTTTAACTAGTGATTTCTGCCTTTTATTGTTTAGACCTCAGTTTAAATGCCACAGCCTCTGTGGAATTTTATCTAAGACCCTAGATCCATTTCTAATACCTTAGATGCGCGTCATTCTCCTACATCCCAATACTCATTATGCCTTGTAATCATTTGTAAATTACATTTTTAAGCGAGAGAGAGATGTTTATTACTGAGTAAAAGTTCCTCGACAACAGCGACCTCAGTTCTCTTATATCTCCAGGTCTTAGCACACAGGAGGCGTGTTAACTACTAAATTTTTTTAAAGTCACTTCTTTTTGGGAGGCTACACCCAGAACACCTGCCCCCTGCTGGGGACCTGGAGACTGGGGGAGTCTCATCCAGCCCTTGCACCCACCTTCACATATTCAGCAAGTACTGTGAGCCACTACTCCACTGAGGGGCTTATGCACATCATCACATTTAATTCCCAGGGCAACCCTGGGAAGCAGGATTTATTGCCGCTAAGGTTTTCATCTTAAGAGAGAACACCAAGATTTTGTTAAAAATATGCTAAACGTCACACAACTAATTCAAGGGGGAGGAGGTAAGGACCAGATTGGTCAGCAAAGCTGGGCGTTTAACTCTGAGGTAATCCTGTTATACCACCTGTGAAGTCGGGGGTGCTGATGCTTGGGTTTGGTTTTTTTCCACCTACTATTGGGCTATGTTCTTCTTTTTGATTTAGATATAATTGACACACAATTCTGTGCAAGTATAAGATGTATAACATTTTAACTTGACAGAAACTTAACAAAATTGATGATTTGGTGAATGAGTGAACATATCTCAAAAATTAATGCAGAGTGTATGCTAATATTGGGTACTTAAAAATTGTTTAAAATGTAGAACTAGAAGGGATCTTAGAAACCACTCAGTCCAAACCCTCTGTTTTAATAATGGAGACACATAGGTCCAGAAAGATCAACTTTTTTGTCAAAAAGCCTGTTTTTAACATAGCTAGAACCGGAAAATTTCAGTCAAATGCACTTTGCACAACATCACCTACCTATAAATAAAATATTATTTTAAATACATGGCACAAATTCCTAAAGAAATTAATATTCTGAAGTAATAAGTAACAATAGAAGATGAAATTAAAATCATAGTCTAAATTTCATTTTTTTAAGACCAATATTAGTATAATGCTAGCATATAACGCTAATAACCAAGTCTTAAAAATAGAGAGAATATAGTTTCATATTACAATTTAAGTACAAGGAAAATTACTATTTTTGCCTTGTATCATTAAATTTTATATTTTGAGATCTGAAACTGAGCATTAAGAACCTAAATCAGAAAAACTGCTTTTTTGGTACTTCCAGAAAAGGCTGTCATAGTTTTGCTGAATCAGATTATAACATTTTTTGTGACCAATCTAGATGTCTCCTCTCAACAAATGACACAGTGATCATACTAAACTGATGTTATCCATCAAAACACACTTCCACTTTCAGCCAAGCAGCAGCTCAGCTGGTTTAACAGAGAAGCAGAAGGCTGATTTATTCTGGGATTTTAACCAAAGGTCAGCAAATCAACCCCCATGTTCATTTATCAAAAAGTGATGGACTCATAAAGTTCTCCTGTTTGAATAATTTTAGTATAAAGGCATAAAAAATGCATATAAATGACCTAAGTGGGTCTAGACTCCGTCACTTCCAAAGGACTTCTCTGTTCTTTGTACTATTCAAAAACTACAGTGAGAGAGTTAGACTCATTTTGAAAAGAGGATGATCAGAATTTCTTCAGTTGGGCCAGAGCATTATTGCAAAGCAAACTTAAGATGTCCAACAAACTCTTTTAACAAAAATTAATTTTTGGAAATGCTTTTCCACGTTTCCCTAAACCTCCTACCATGAGATAATATTGATGAAATTATTTTTATTAGCATATTTTAATTCATAATCTCAAAAATATCTGTCATATTAAAAGCAGACTGCATTCACTAAATCAGCGCAAATCTCAAAGATTCACTCTTTCAAAAGGTACATATTAACCGGGACTCAAAGTTTACCTTTGGTTATGTTTATAAAGAAACGTTTTGCTAAGCAGAGAATTGATGTAAGCTAGATTTTAAGGAAAAAAATGTTTAATTCAATTAGAATAAAACTAATTTCAAGCACGCTTAGGTACTTTAGAAGCACTCAATTACTAGGAACACTTCAGAAATAAATTAATAGATATACAAGTCAACAGAAAGCACAGAAAAAAGTTATTTGGAATAACTGTAGGAAATGAATCTCTCTGACTTGACTTAATAAATCACCATTTATATAAATCATGTTTCTTGAGCATTTACTCTTCTTTAGTCATTGAAACTGGTTTCTAAAGAGTGAATATTGTATTAAAGGGACTTTATAAAATACTTGAAATTCTCTTTTTGCTTGTAACATGAGGCAACAATCTGGTAACCCCCAGGTTAAATCTGGCCACCAACACTTGTTTTGTTAAAAAAACAAAATGTTGCCTTTTTTTTATAATTGCTTTTGGAAGTTTTGAGGGGTGTCACGTAGTCTCATTTTGCTATAGTCCTCACCATCTCACTTTAGTAGTTTTCCCCTTTTATGTTACATGCTTGGTATCTAAAGGCTTACGTTTCTGGAAGCCTAAATTTAACATTATGTCCAGTTTGAATGTTCACTAAATTGATCTTTCCACCCAGTCACAAAATGTTGGAATTCTTAGAACTGGAAGGTACCTTAGAGGTTAGCTAACTCTTGTCATTTCTTCCAACAGGATGCCAAAGGTCAAGAAAAGTAAAGCAGCTTTCCCACCGTTAAATGTATGTTAATAGTTCTGCCAAAATGCTCTTCTAAGTCGATAAACTTAACTCCTATTTTGAAATTTCACGATTTGTCGTAAGTCACTACCATTCTCATCTCTATAAAAGACACTTGCTTTGTAAGCACTTACCCCTGAGTGCAGGTAGCAGGGATCTCTCCTTCTTGTCGTCACATTTGTTACATTCGCTGAAGTACAGGAGTAAGAAGACGTCGACGAGAACCCACATCAGCGACGTGGCTAGAACCACCTTGCAGTAAACAAACCTCCTCATCTCTTTCCTTGATTTCTAGTTAACAGAGAGATCGAAGACAGACACGACTCTGATAAATCCAAGCCACGAGGGTGAACTCCAGGATAAAAGCAGGATGCACCCCACTGTATTAAAAAAAGAAAGAAGAAAGAAAGAAAGAAAATTACTTATTGCAGTTTGTTTTACATAAATGTGATACAACATGAAATCTATGACTTATTTAATGCTCCCATATGTATCAGCATTTGGCCTTCAAATTCAGAATGAAAAGCCCAAGTCAGTGACAGCTGTAAGCAAGCCAGGTGGCTAGAACTCTACCAACTAATCCCAGATCTGCCACCACCCTGCAGGGCCCTTGACAACTACTTGATTTCTTTCTGTTGAACTGCCTTTTCCTTAAAGTCCTATCGTGATATTCTGTGGAGCACCAGGTTGTGAAATAGTGCAGTTCTGAATTTAGCATGACTCAGCACTTGTAAGGAGCCGATACTGCTGAACTAGAAGTTCATTCTGGATTACAATACATTGCAGTGGTAAGAGCTGGCCTTTATACACACATAGGCCTGGCACTATTCACTTCTTATAACTTCCTTTCCAATTCTAGGGAAGACTTTCTAAGCCTCAGTTGTCTCATCTATGAAATGAAAATAACAATGCCAAACCTACAGACTTGCTATGAGGACCAAGTACGATAATGCTTGTAAACCATCTTACAGAACACATGGTTATTATTATTAAGGTATAAAACAAAGTAATTCTCAAATTCTCAAAAAGGGCAATTACAGGAAATAAGTCACCAGTTATTTAGCCTTAAAAACCCCATCTGGTCTGCACAGAAAGTATCCACTACAGATGTGCATTTGAGAAAGAGTAGCACACACTCAAAAAAGTTATCAGAGGATAATTTCAGAGGATAACACCTTAATGTAAAGTGACTTAAAATAGCTAGAGCAAGAATTCTAAAGGTGTAACAAAAATGTGTGTGCAATTATTGAGAGAGATTCAGAGAAAGTGTACAATTAATACTATACACATATTTGTTTTATTTATACTACATATATACAGAAATAAATTAACATGATAGTTATTGTTCTGTCTATACAATAACTGTATCAAACCAAAAACAGTCTCATATCATTTGCTACATTAAAATAATAGGACCTGAAGTATAAATTTATTGATGTGAATAAGATAAGTAACAGTTTTGACAGATATTTGAGGAGAACAGCTATTAAATACAAAGATACTTGGACTGTGTTAGAAACACTTGTCTCAAAATAAAAAAACATCAAAGTACAATTTGCTGAAGCAGAAGCTCTTTAAATTAATGGCAGCTGCCTTTGCATCATAAAGCAACACAAATGCTGTTGCCTAACCAGATGAGTAATACATTCAAAATTTACATAAAGTGACAATTTTTAAAAAACACTGAAACAGTGTCTGCTTTTAATATTTACATAAAATTTACATTTATTTAACACATATTTTAAAAAGAAAGATACAAAATGTACAAACTTAAGGACTACACGATATTTGGGTTTTGTTATTTTTCTTGGAAAAATGGCATGCTAATTTCATTTCAACTTCATTTCTCTGTAAAAATTATAACTAAACACTAGAACACAACCTCTAAACTTGGCAACGGGGCTTGTTGTAACATAACATATACGTAGGTTACTTTGTTTGTTGTAACATAACATATAAGATGGTACTTTATGTCTACATCCCTGAATGTGAGATTTGAAACCATTTGAGCTATTAAATTTGCTATCTTTCTTTGGTCCTAAGATGGAGCAGGTCCCTCCAGTTTATTGCAGAAAAAAAGTCCTGTGAAAATGTATATATAACACTGATGGTAACTAAACAGCTATCTCCAGATTTAAAAGGAATACTTTAAAAGGATCCTATAATAAAAGATCTATACATTATAGGGTCTTTTATTATAAAGATCTATAACAAAAGACATAAAAAGCCCCATCTCTGGCTCTGTCATAAAATGGAAAGATGAGTTTAGGTAGGCATTTTGCCTCTCCTTGCTTCATTTTCTTTGCTTACATTTCCTGTCCCATCCACCTCAGAAAATTGTGAGGCTTAAGCAAGATAAAGAATGAGAACATTGTTAAAAGAAAATAGAAAGATTATTATTATAATAGAAAATCTGAAATCACTTAATATTAAATATTAAACTGTCTAAGATAAGTCATTTCCTAATAAGAGCCTAACACTTGAGGTTATTGAGAATTTAATTTAAACTTGAGCCATAATAGTAAGTGAAAATCACATCTCATTGCCACTTCAAGCATTATTCAAATTATTCTAATTCCATACCCTGCTAGATCTATATATCAAGAAATTATCAGAGAAAACTCTAACTTTAATATTTTCTGTGATTAAAACTAAGTTACTATTTAAATTTTTGTTTATTTATGAAACAAGCTTTCTTACATATTTCAAGTTTTTAATTCTGTCTACCTCGAAAACACCTCTACTTTGAAAACATACAAAATGTCATCATTCAGTATCCACTGGCACTTGTAAGATAGAAATCTCCTATACTGTGTTTCAGTACTCTTCGCATGAGAACAAAACTGACTGAGCAGAAGGATGGCACAATATACAAAGCAACACTAACCAACGTAAGCAGTTGGTGGCCCAGGTTTATTTAAGAGAATCAGCATCTGTATTATGTTTTTATTCCAGTAAGTCCCTATTTATTTGCAAACACTACTCTGTTTCTCAAGCCAAATCCAAGTTCTGCAGTGTCCTTGGCTTGCCAAATCAATGTGGAGCATGACTAACTTTGCATAAGCTACAGGCTCTTCAATCCGAAAATACGACCCCTTCTCTAATCATTTCAACATCTTTTGAGCACAGTTATTCCACTCTTCAAAAATATTTCTCTAGGCAGGAAAACTTCAAGAGTTAGAGAGCTATCAAGTACCATTCTTGCTCATCCTTTCGACTTTCCTTTTCCTCTTGCCCGCTAATTCACAGTGTTAGTCAGAAATTCCATAAGATATTACAGGATTTTTGTTTGCAAATATGCACCACTTTTACTATTTTATAAAAAATGGATTTCAAGTATAAAAAAAGTAAAATCTCAATAAAGCTTAGGAGTTTGGTAACTATGTTTTTGAAATAAGAAAGGTATTTTTGTTTTTAAATATGAGGTGATCACTTACCTGGGGAGTATGGTTTAGTTGCTGTTAGACATATTTTTTGTCTGTAATGAGATATTTTCTTCTGCAGAAAATTGCATACTAGGAGCAAATTCATTCAGTCTGTTTTATGAGGCTGTTGTATTATGAGCCTATTTGAGGCTGCCAAAGGGTGAAGCTAGTGGAAGACTGCTGGTAGTGCTTACAGAACTTTCAGGCACTTTAAATGTATTAGATAGCTATGTACTAGCTTCTGCGAACTGATGACTGGACAATTTTGCTGAGTTTGGTTTAAGGACTGATAAATCTAGTGGGTAAGCACTGAAAAAATACTCCGAATTCGCTATAGGTCTTATTGACAGGAAGACTGATTTTTGCATGAGTGAATGTCTAAAATTAAGGTGGACTAGAGGAATCTACCCACAGCCTAAAACAAAGGGTCTGCTGTAAAAAGCATGTCATAAGGACAGATACACTAAGAGACAAAGAAGCAAAGATAATGTTAAATGAATGCCTCATGTGGAAAGATGGTGAAAAAAAGCAAAAAAAAAAAAATCAAAATGACACCTGCACCCAATGTTCACAGCAGCACTATTTACAATAGCCAAGACATGGAAACAGCCTAAGTGTCCATCAACAGATGACTGAATAAAGAA